GTATCTTTAAACCTCGTGGAAAAAAAAAAATAGTGTGGCGGGGAAGGGGGTGGCTTCATGGCTAGCCCCAAACTCTTTGCAGATGAAAGGACGGTCGCCTTTTTGATTTCGCTGGCCACTTTTCTCCCCGCTGGCAGGCAGAGGCGCGGGGGGAGCGGCGACAGGCAGGGCCCCGCTGTCCCCGCGTGTTCTCCTCCCCCCGGGCTGGGGCTCGGCGGGCTGGAGAAAGCTTTTTATTTATTTATTTATTTTTAATTATTTCTTATTTTTATTTTGCTCGTGGGTCCTTTCTACCTGTGTCCATCGCTGCAGGTTGTTGTGCTGGCGAGCAATTGGGCTGTTGTTGATATGCTAATGAGGCGATTAGGCTGTGGGTAAAGAGCTGGAAAAGGGAAAAGTTTCCACCATTAGAGGGAGATCTCCGAGCGCGGACGGGAGCGCTGCAGAGCCTCCGCCAGCCGCGCTCCCCACGCCGCCCCGGCACCGCCAGCCTGGGCAAAGGCAGGGAGAACCCAATCCTCTCTCTCACGCCAATCCATGAAAATGCTTTGGAAACTGACGGATAATATCAAGTATGAGGAATGTGAGGTAAGCGCTTCCCCCGGCCGGGGCAGAACCCCCCGGCCCCGCAGCTGCGAGCATCCCTCCGTCTCTCAATTTCGTTTAGGAAAAACTTCTGCTCCTTCGCCAGGCTTCCTCGCGGTCCTGCAGCCGGAGAGGGGCTGGGGTCCTTCCCCAGGAACTTCGGGGCTTGTGGAAACCCGGCTTTGTCGGAAGTGTATGAGGAAAGGCAAACAGCAGCCAGCAGCAGCCTGCTTTATAGGTAGATCCTCCGTAGATAAAGCTCTGTAGGATGCTACACTCATCCATATGGATGGATGGATAGACGGCTGGCTGGCTGAAAGGACGGATGAATGAATGAATGAAAGGGCAAAGAGACAAAGGGAAGAGAATTATTCTTACACGCCAGGTACCCGAGGCATCCCAATAAATTGGCTCAGGATCGACGCTTATATTCAGCCTTTTCGATGTAGCTGCGGGTTGATTATACCGAGTTGCACAAATTTGCAGGGGT